GTAGACGAGTCTGCTTCGTGGTCAAAGGTCAGCCTGGGTGCACAGCACAATCCAAATTGATTGTTTTCTTAGGTCAGTTTCCTAGAAGTGATTTTAGTGAGACTTAGCCAGAACTCCTGGTACAAAGCGGCAGACACAAGTTTTTGGCCAGTATTGCTGGGGACTTGTAGTCTCATTCTTGGTTAGTATAAGATGTATCTGGTGCTTGTGTTTTGTTTTGCTTTGCTTTTAAAGAAAGGGTCTCCATACATAGCCCAGGCTGGCCTCAGCTCTGACCTCTCCCAGGTACTTGGATTACAGATGAGTGCCACCAGACCTGATTTAGCTCAGTTTATACCCCTAGGCCCTGTCTCTTCATCTATAATCCGCTTTACTTTCCTCTGTCAGACTCATGCCACCTGCTGGTCAAGATGGGTATTGACAGCTTTTTAGTAGTTAGTAGAAATGTATTTGAGAAAGATGATGGATGTTGGTTTCTTTGTCTCTCCCTGAACTAACCAATTTCTATGGTCAGGAAGATACAGGACCGTGATTGACTAGACTCTCTCTTGTGCCACAGCTGGGGATTACCTTGGCATATGGAAAGAAGGTTGTTAGAGGAATTCACCTTCAACAGTCAGGAGGGGGATATTTTAAAATTATTTTAAGGGACTGAAGAGATGGCTTGGCGGTTAAGAGCATGGACTGCTTTTCCAGAGGATCCAAGTTCAATTCCCAGAACATCAGGTGTTTCTCAACCATCTGTACATCCAGCTCCAGAGTTCCAACATCCCAGCCTCTGTGGGCACCTGCACTTACATGTACACATATAATAGAAGAATAATTTTAAAAAGTTTGTTGTTGCCAGGTGGTGGTGGCGCACACCTTTAATCCCAGCACTCGGGAGGCAGTGGCAGGTTGATCTCTGTGAGTTCAAGGCCAGCCTGGTCTACAAAGCGAGTTCTAGGAAAGGTGCAAAGCTACACAGAGAAACCCTGTCTTGAAAAACAAAAAACAAACAAACAAACAAAAAGTTTGTTGTTATTGATGTGCTTTCTGTTTTGAGACAAGTCTCTATATAGCCCTGGCTGTCCTGGAACTTGCTATGTAGATCAGGCCAGCCTTGAACCCACAGAGATCCACTTGCCTCTGACTTTCAAGAGCTGGGATTAATGGCATATGCCCAACCAAAGTTAAAACTATTTTAATTACTTAAATGTATTTTTGTGATGCTGAGATCAAACTCAGGACCTTACACATGTTAGGCAAGTATGCTGGGCTACTCCTACTCCTGGGCTACTCCTGGGCTACTCCTACTCCTGGGCTACTCCTACTCCTGGGCTACTCCTGGGCTACTCCTACTCCTGGGCTACTCCTACTCTTGTTCTACTTCTACTCCTGGGATGTTCCTACTCTAGTGCTACTCCTATTCGTGGGCTACTCCCCTCCCATGTTTATCATTTTTTGGTAGTTATTGTTAAGTAACTTCTGAATGTTAATTCTTACTTTAATGATGCTTCTTATTTTTTCTGTTTTCACCAATATTGGTTATTGTTTTCTAAACATCATTGTCAATTTAATATGTTAAAAATAGTACTTTGCCAGGGTGTGTAGTACTGACCTATAGTTGAGTCAGAAGGCCAGTCTTGGCTACATAGACTTTTTTTTTTTTTTTAAAGAATCTATTATTTATTTATTTGGTTTTTCAAGACAGGGTTTCTCTGTGTAACAGCCCTGGCTATCTTGGAACTCACTCTGTAGATCATACTGGACTTGAATTCACAGGGTTCTATTATGAGTTCTGCCTCTGCCTCTGCCTCTGCCTCCTGAATGCTGGGATCAAAGGTGTGTGCCACCACCACCCAGATGAGACCAGTTTTTTTCAAAGAGTACTTTTACTTATTTTTATTTAGTGTGCATTGGTGTTTACCTGCATGTATGTCTGTGTGAGATCATCAGAGCCTCTGGAACTGGAGTTATAGAAGGCTGTGAGCCACCATGTGGGTGCTGGGAATTGAACCTGGGTCCTCTGGAAGAGCAGCCAGTGCTCTTAACCACTGAGCCATCTCTGCTGATCCATTTTTCCAGCCTCAATTCTTAATTTTTGTTGTTATTGTTGTTTTGTTTTGTATTTTGTTTTTCCTTTTTCAAGACAGGGTTTCTCTGTGTAGCCCTGGCTGTCCTGGAACTTGCTTTGTAGATCCTGCTGGCCTCGTCTCATTGGGATCCGCCTGCCTCTGCCTCCTGAGTGCTGGGTTTAAAGTCTTGCACCACCATCTCCCTGCTCAATTCTTATATTTTTAACTTTATAGATAATAATACTTCAAATGTTTTTGCCCACTGGTGTTTTACCTGTATTGTTTTTTTCTTTGGGAGCAACTCCAATGATATTCTTCTATCAAAGGTGTGAATATGTTGGCCAGTGGTAGAAGCATTTGTCCAGTGTATGCAGAGTCCTAGAAGGATAAAGATAAACACCACCAAAGGATAAAGTTAAAGGTGTAACATCTTTATGTCTTTTAAAGAATTTTACCAACTTGAATTTCTACCTACGCTGTATGAATGGGGCTGAAGAGATGGCTCAACAGTTAAGAGCGATTGCTGCTTTGCCGAGGACCTGGGTTTGTTTCCCAGCACCCGTATTGTGTTGCTTACACCTGCCTGTAACTCCCGTGCCAGGGGATCTGATGCCTTCTTCTGGCCTCTGTGAGCACCTCCTATATAGACACACATATAGGCACACTGGCATGTAGACACACATACACATAGTTAAAAATAAATCTTTGAGGGGTTTGGGAATGTAGCTCAGTGGTAGAATGCCTGTCTGCCATGCAAGAGGCTTGGGTCAATCCCCAATATCACAGAAAATAAAACTCATGAGATAGGTTAATTGTATAGGGCCAGAAGGACAGAGAGAAAAATTAAAGCCATATGTGGCTAACGTAGCAATGAATTTATGGGGACGTGATTTGTTAAAGCAATGGACTACCCAGATTAACATTCCTCCAATCTCAGAAACAAACCATAAACTAACATGTTTCTGCGAAAAATATTGAAAGGTATTGTAAAGAACAGTCACC